CCTATTTTTCTCCATTTAAGTTGCTGCTTGCTTCTGCCTGTGCACAAGAGCAACACTTGGCAAGAGGGACTGACTTGGGTTGCAAGTGTGTTCGGGGTCTGGATTACTAAGAGCCCGAAGCGACATTCTCCCGGGCAGCAGAGCACCGACTGGATACGCCTTAGCCAGGGCCCTCTCTCTCTAGGGTGACTGATCCCAGCTCCTTCCCAAAGCCACACAATCTTCCAATGGCTGACAAGGTCCTTGTCACCTTGCCCCAACTTTATCAGATGCATCTTTCTGCATCTCCTCTCCATGGGGGACAACCAGCTTTCTTAGCTTCCTCTGTCTCTGCACTTAAAAAAAAAAATCTGGTAGAGTGTACGTGACTTTAAATTCACCTCCTTTACCGTTGTTAGCTGTACAGTTCTGTGACACTGACATTCACCTTGTGAAACCATCACCACCATCCATCTCTACAATTATTTTCATCTTGCAAGATTAAAATTCTGTATTCGTTGCACCCTAATTTTCCATTTTCCCTCCCCCAGCCCCTGGAAACCCCCGTTCTGCTTTCTGTCTCTATGAATTTGACAACTCTAGGTACGTCACATCAGTGGAGTCATATGGTATTTGTCCTTTTGTGACTGGCTTTTTTCACTGAGCGTGATGTCCTCGAGGTTCCCTCGTGCTGTAGAATGTGTCAGAATTGCCTGCCTTGATGATGCTGTATAATATTCCACTGTGTGGATGGACCACATTTATTCATTCGTTGATTGACGGGCACCTGGGTCGCTTCCCCCTCTTGGTGGTTGGCAATAATGCTGCTATGAACGTGGGTGTGCAAATAAATGTTTCGGATTCTGCTTTCAGTTCTTTTGGATATAGACCTAGAAGTGGAATTGCTGGATCAAATGAAAATTCTATTTTTAACTTTTTTGGGAGCCACCATACTGTTTTCCACAGTCGGTGCACTTACGTTCCCACTAACAGTGCACCAGGTTTTCGTTTCTTTACATCCTCGCCAACATTATTTTCTGTTCTCTGTTATTTTACATAGTTGTCATCCCAGAGGGTGTGAAGGGATTGTCTCTGCACTTTGACTTTTGTCACTGATCAGGGGACCAGCCAGAGGAGGCCCTGAAGTCCTCATTCACAGAAATCCCAGCTGCACCCTCTTTCTGAGCTGTCCCAGCCTATTAGTGACACCGAGTCATTCATCAAGGTCTTAGCAGGCGAGTTTAAAGAAGCAAACACCTGGAATTGTTCTGACAAGTGTCCTGACCCCCAAAATTGTATTCTGAACTGTTTCACTCCCCTGCCATCATTTAGCTTACAGTCCATGACACAGCACAGTGTATGATACGTGATATGTACCGCAGAGACTGCAGGGGCTTTAGAAGTAAGTTAACCATGTGAGTGGCCGGTGTGATATGTCACACCTGACGGGTGTATGCATTTCCCAGGGCCACCGTAACAAAATTCCCCAGACTAGGGGCTTAAACAACAGATGTTTATTGTTTCACAGTCCTGGAGGCTGGAAGTCTGAGATCAAGGTGTGACAGGGCTGGTTCCTCCTGAGGCCTCTCTCCTTGGCTTGTAGACACCGTCTTCTCCCTGTGTCCTCACATGGTCGTACCTCTGTGCATGTCTGTGTCCTAATCTCCTCTTCTTATAAGGACACCAGTCCCATTGGATTAGGGCCCACCCTAGTGACCTCTTTTACCTTAATCACCTCTTGAAAAAGACCCTGTCTCTAAATATAGTTGTATTCTGAGGTCCTGAGGGTTAGGAAACATATTTTGGGGGGATGTATTCTAACCATAACAGGGAATATGTGGACAATGTAGGTCGCAATGTTTCTCTGTACAGGTGACGCATCATGTAGACTTTGAATGACTGGGAAGAAATGCCGGGTAGAGGATGAAGCATATATAAGATGTGAATCCATAACAAAAGGGTAATTTTAGTTGTTACAGTAGTGATAGAATTTGGGAAGATCTTGGGCTGAGCCCGTGGCGCACTCGGGAGAGTGCGGCGCTGGGAGTGCAGCTGCGCTCCCGCCGCGGGTTCGGATCCTATATAGGGATGACCTGTGCACTCACGACGCTCACTGGCGGCCGGTCTCCAAAAAAAAAAGGGCAAAAAAAAAAAAGAATTTAGGAAGGTCTTGGAAACATGAGCAGTCTCAGATGGCTCTATGTTGGTCTCGAAATTACGAAGGAGTGGTATTTTTTTCCACCAAGTACATGGCAGCTCTAAGTGTAGTTTGGATGAAAGCGATTCTGTGAGAAAGCAGTACAGAAAAAAAAGTTTTTGCAATGAGATACAGAACGAGCCAAAAATGGGAACAGTGAGAAAGAAAGAAATGCAATCAAACTTAATCAAATCAACAGTCACACAAATGACATTCATTTCCTTGGATTTTTGCCGTATGTCAAGAAAGAAGCTGGAACCAAATGGTTTCCAGGTCTTCTTCCCAGTCTCAGAGTCCAACAGTCTAGTTATACCTGGAAGAACAGATACTAATCCTTCCGAGTTTTGCTAAAGAAGAGAGAACTCCAGCCTCACGTTTGTATCAGAGTCCTCTGCAGTTATTGCTGTTTTTTGTTGCCCCCTTTTTTTTTGTTACTTCCCCCATTATGCCATCGTACCCTAGAATACTTGAAAATTGTGATCGTGAGTTATCTCCCTGTGGGCTGGGTGCAGGTTTTGTTTGTTTCTGTCCTCTGTCCTCCCAATGGGCTTGAGCATGTAGCAGTTTGGTGACTAGAAGCCCAGTTTACAGCACAGGATCGCGAGGTGTCCACAGCTATATTTTTACAGCTCTGGGTGCAAGGAGAGAGGGGGGACATACCAGGGCTCCTCGAAGAGGAAAGTCTAAGGTGGGCTTTGGGGATTGTCAGCTCTAATGCAGAATATCCCTTCCGTCATTAGCTGTTAGCATGTTTTACCATCAAGGCACTTCCCCCCCCCCCCCCTTTTTAAAAACAGGGCTCCTCGAAGAGGAAAGTCTAAGGTGGGCTTTGGGGATTGTCAGCTCTAATGCAGAATATCCCTTCCGTCATTAGCTGTTAGCATGTTTTACCATCAAGGCACTTCCCCCCCCCCCCACTTTTTAAAAACAGCTTATTCTGGTATAAGTGATATACCATTAAAAGAGTGTTTTTATACACCCAAGACTAGGCAGTCTCTCAGATCTGAGTAAGTTTTCCAATATGCAGTATTTGGGGCATGGCAAAGAAAACTATTTAACTTTAAGAGAAAAAAATGTGTTAAGAATTTATGTCACAAAATTCACCATTTAAACCATTTTAAAGCGTGCAATTCAATGGCAGTCAGTGCAATCACAATGTAAAACTATTACCTCTGTCTAGTTCCAGAATATTGTCCTCCCAAAAGGAAGCCCTGTACCCATTAGCAGTCACTCCCTATGCCCCCGACCATAGCCCCTGGCAATCACTAATCTGCTTTCTCTATGGCTTTGCATATTCTGGACATTTCATATAAATAGAATGAGAATATGTGGCCTTTCGTGTCTGGCTTCTTCCACTGATCTGCTGTGTCCAAGGTTCATCCACGTTGTAGCAGGTGTCAGAACTCGATTCCTTTTCATGGCTGTGCATAGTATTCCACTGTTTGGATAGATGACATTTGTTTATCCGTTCATCAGAACTTTAGCATTTCACAGGTGAGTTTTTCTTAGCAGAATCCCCACTATTGAGATATGTGAAAAAGAAAACAATTAAGATTTTTTTTCTTGTCTTTTCCATATAACATACAATTTAGAGATTTCAGCAGAAATTCCAAACCCATAGATTTTAGGTAACACTGTGATTCTTCTTAAACAGAGAGGAAATACTCTTATGAGTGGTCATGTGTGTGTTGGGGAGGAGGGGGCTGTGAGCTATTTTTTTAAATAGTTCTTTCTTTTCTACAAGAACAAAATAGAATCACCAAAGACAAAATATCAGCAGTGAAGGTGAAGCTAACATGATGTTCATGCATGTAGCTGGGGGGAAATCTGCTGTCCTTGACATGCGTATCCATGCACCCAGTGGACACACTTAATTTAGGAGGGGACATGCTTTCTGAGTTTAGCCTTAATAACACCTCATCCGATAGTGTGTGAGCTTTCTGCTTCGAATCACCTGGTGGTTCCCAAGGCTTAAGGGACATGACAGATTAGGGGCAGGAGAAAGGAACCACATTCCCCTCCTCTGCCATCCAACCCACTTATCAGAGAACCCTCTTCCTGTTTAAAATGTATAGATTCATAAAGTTTCTGCTGGAATGTCTAAACTGCATGCTATATGGAAAATGCAAACCTCTGTTGTAAAAATTAGGAAAGGGATAGCAGGAATAGAAAGATAACAATTAAACCAACCAGAAAGTTCCACGTGGGGATGTAATTCTGGGGCCACCCAACTCGATGCCTTGTTTTTCTGGCACCATGTGGTGCTGGGTTCAGCTTGTCTCTGCAAAGTCCCTTCGCTTCAGTCTGCTGTCCTCCAGGTGGCGCTAGAAGCTAAATTTTTCTCAGGTCTTCACTTACCTTTTGAGAATTATTTTCCCTCCCAGAGCATGTGGCCCCGCTGGAACCCAAAACGACCCAGTGTCCCTAGCCTGGCAGGTTCAGAACGCTGGCCATGAAATTAATATGACAGCGAACGCACAAGGACCCTGTGCCAAAAAGCATCAAAAACACTTCAAACCTTTTGAAAAGAAAATCTGCAGTGCTTTTCAATTTCATCTTGTGGGACAGAATCAGCAGCATATTTATGCACATCGAACAAGTGTATACATTCTTAGGGGCATTCTATATTGGTTCATAAAAGTTTCCCAGGAAAAGAGTCAGCAAAGACAATGTTACTGTCTTTACACAATAAAGTATTTGCACAGAAAGGAGGGAAGAAAGTGTGGCTTTGATCAATTTAGCTATTGTAACAGAGCTTCTGAGGCTGGTGCTTTAGCCATGAACAGCTGAGTTTTACAGGCTCCTGTCTCTGTCACCCATACAGGACGTGGACCCTCTGTGGAACGCCAGAGTACCTGGCTCCTGAAGTCATCCAGAGCAAAGGCCATGGAAGAGCCGTGGACTGGTGGGCGCTGGGCATCCTGATATTCGAGATGCTCTCAGGGTGAGTACAGTCAGCTCAGGAGGCCGGCGCCCTGTGCATCCATCCATTTCTGTTAACCTCTAAAACGGTGCTTTGGGGTTGCAAATACTTATTTAGTGTGGCCGCACTCCCATCTTACACTGCTGAGGTTGTCAGTGTGAGTTAACTATTGCACTTATTTGAATAAGAGTAAAAAGCCACAAACTTGTGCAAAAAACCACTCGTGCACACCTGTTGAGATTTTTGAATCTAAATATCTGTACTTTCCTTAAATATGGTATTAATCTTCTGCATGGAATAACATGCAGACATGAGGAATGCACAGGTTGGATAAAGGTAGATCAGTCAAATATGATTTAGTAGTTTGTGAATGAGCAGTCTTTGAGGAAGGAGAGAATGTGTTTATTTTTTTTTTTCTTTTCCCCAAAAGCCTCATACTTGTGTTTGGTGAGATTTGGAAGTTAGGAGAGGTGGCTCATTGTACCTTGTGCAGATAACAAGGAAGCTGATTGTTCATCAAAGTGTCATAGTGATTCAGTGTTCAAGTCTAGCGTTTGACACGGTGTTAACGTTACCCTTCCAGAGCCATCCAGCGTTCACGCCACGCTCAGACACCCTGTACTCGGGGTTGACCCTCATCTCGCCATTCACATCTTGAATATATGTTAACAGGTCTGGGATTCCCTAAGAAGACTAAGTAGTATGGCCCTTTACCAAATGCAGGTGATTCTCGACGTAACGATGGGGTTCCGTACAAATAAGCCCGTCCTAGGGTGAAGGTATCGTAAGTTGTGACTGCATTTAGTGCACCTGACCTACCGTGCATCAGACCTTAAACATTCTCAGAACATGCACGTTAGCCTCAGTTGGGCACGTCACCTAACCGGAGCCTGTTTTATAGCAAAGTGTTGAACATCTCGTGTAACTTATTTACGTTCTACTGAATGTCAATCACTTTCCCACCGTCATAAAGTCAGAATATTCTAAGTGGAGCACGCTAAGTTGCAGACCATCTGCAGTAACCTCTAGGAAGGAGGGAGCGACGTGTGCAGAGGACACAGTCAGCTTTACGTGGTTATCTGAACGAAAGGCTTGCTCTTCTCTCTGATGCTCCAGCCAAGAGGTGGCCCAGCCCAGGAAGGGTCCAGGACACCGGTGGGGACGCTGTGACATGCTTTGCCACAGCCGACTCTACCTGCTACTATTTTCTTTCTCTTTCCCTTTTTCCTCTTTCTGCTGCTTGCCAGTGAGTCTCAAAGACAGACACAATTGCATCCTCACAGTTTGGTTCCAGTTTCAGCAAACACCTGGGTCCCCTTCCACATCTCTCTGATGCCCTGTGGGGACAAAGACCACAGTTTTTTTTTCCTTTACTCAGAAATCAGAAATCTTCCCTTTCGGTTGGAAACAAAGACGGGAAGAGAGGCTTTCTTCCTAGAGGGTGTGGCACAGGGAGCCCTGAGCACCCACTTCTGGCTGTACATAGGACTGAAATTCCAACAGCTCGCTTCGTAAATCAAGTCGCTGCCTGCACTTGCTGAGTTGACAGTGAGCATAGCCGCGTGTGTGTATCTCTGCTGTGTTTCCTAAAGAAAGGTAATCCTTTACTTCCCAGATGACCTTACGAGTCAAAGCAACTATGGGGAATTCCTGCCAAAGAATTGCACCACGCAACTGGGACAGGAGATGGGTGAAGGGGGTGGGACCTAGGGAAACCTGAATTTATTTGGCTATGTCTGTCACCCACCCATCCATCTGTCTATCCACCTACTCATCCAGCTACTTTTCTGCCTTTTTCTGTCCATTCGTCCATCCATCTGTCTATCATCTTCCTACCTATGTACTGTCCGTTTACCAAACTGTCATCTGTCCGTCCATCTAGTCTTTTGAACTTTCCATTACTCTTTACTCAGGCATATCTAGCAAATCATATAGAACTAAACTTCTCGGTGTGCACAGTAGCCCGTGAAGTCCCAGGCAAAGCAGAAGGTTAAAAATAACTCGTGCATTTTTTTTTTTTTTTTTTTTTTTTTTTTTTTTTTTTTTTTTTTTTTTTCCGTGTCCGGCAACGGATCGCAACCCTCAGTGTTGCCCCCGTACCGGACTGGGGACCGGCACCGGGATCGCCAGCCTCGGTGTTGCTCCCGCGCCTCGCGCAGTCAGGGAGCGGGAACCGGTCTGTATATGGGATCCGAACCCTCGGACGGGAGCGCCGCCGCGCTTCCCAAGTGGCACACTATCCAGTGCGCCACCGGGCCGGCCCATAACTCGTGCATTTTTTTTTTTTTTTGTCTTTTGTCTTTTTTCCGTGTCCGGCAACGGATCGCAACCCTCAGTGTTGCCCCCGTACCGGACTGGGGACCGGCACCGGGATCGCCAGCCTCGGTGTTGCTCCCGCGCCTCGCGCAGTCAGGGAGCGGGAACCGGTCTGTATATGGGATCCGAACCCTCGGACGGGAGCGCCGCCGCGCTTCCCAAGTGGCACACTATCCAGTGCGCCACCGGGCCGGCCCATAACTCGTGCATTTTTTTTTTTTTTTGTCTTTTGTCTTTTTTCCGTGTCCGGCAACGGATCGCAACCCTCAGTGTTGCCCCCGTACCGGACTGGGGACCGGCAACGGGATCGCAAGCCTCGGTGTTGCTCCCGCGCCTCGCTCAGCCAGTGAGCGGGAACCGGTCTGTATGTGGGATCCGAACCCTCGGACGGGAGCGCCGCCGCGCTTCCCAAGTGGCACACTATCCAGTGCGCCACCGGGCCGGCCCATAACTCGTGCATTTTGATCAGCTTCCGCCCAGATGTCTGCAGCCCATTTTCCTTCTGTGATTGTTCTGACCACAAGAGGACAGCATTGCTCAAGGAGAGTTGAATCCTGAACTCCAGTGGTTTTCAGCAGAGTGAGGTTTACATGCCCCAAGTTTTGTCTTTATTATTAGGATAATTCTATATTATAGAATGCTGTGAGAGTATAATATACTATTAAACATCATGTTGTTAGGATTTTTACCAAGAAAGAAGGAGCCAGTTACATTCAACACAATCTAGTCTGCAATCCGTCATTCTGTTAACTGGGCCTGCTTTCTTTGAGAGAGCTGATTTTTCTTCATTCTTGCTGTTTGTGGTCCTTGTCACAGATGATTCCTGTACTGCAGGAAGTCTCATTTGTGAAGAATCGTAGACTGTACCAGGCTTCCTTCCTCTGGAACAGGATGGGTGCAGAAGAGAAGACTCACCAGATGGCACATGGGGTTATGCTGAGTTCATAGCGCCCTTTCAGGGATCTGTAGGTGAGGGATCTTTGTGACACGGAGAAGTCACTGAACAGCTCAATGTCTGTTTTCACCTGTAGGGTAGGCATACTTCCTGCCACTTGGCTCCCAGATATGTTTATGAAATCGATGAGGCCATATACAGTACATGAATTTTGTCACCTGTCTTTCCTAAAGGGAGGTGTGTTGCTTTGCCTCCCACGGATTTGTCAGCCCTTTTCCCCTGGGTGATGGAGTCACCAAAGATTACTCAAAGCCCGTCTCTTCTGAGCAGTGAGAAGCCCCCAAAAGGGGTTAATCTCCCGTAACCCTCAAGAGAGAGGCATTCCTTCCATTTGGGAAATTAACCATGAATTGGGGTTCTCTTTCCACATTTATTCTCCAGAACATGAAGTTACAGGAAGAGAACATAGGTGGGGTTTTTGCTAAGTACAGTTTAACAAGTTTAACAATAGAAGCTGGTAACATTCAGTAAGACAAGCAAGGTGACATTCTATAATGCAATTAAGTCGATCCACTAATAAAAGCTTGATTTTAGCAAACATTCTCTTCTTATAGCAATTTCCCAGTATCTTTACATGTCAGTCAGTAACCTGTCTGTCTTTGAGCCAGCAACCTTGCTGTGTTACAATTCTTTATCTTACAACAGGGACTATAGCCTGGGGAAAATTTTCTGTCCTTTGTAAGGTCAATATTTGAAACTGCAAGGCTTTGGAAAACCAGGCCCTGTGAAGTATATTTGCTTTATGCATATTCTACAGAGGTGAGGGCTTATTAACTCCTAAAGTAATGATTCTAAGGTGATTAGGAGTTAAAAAGGTATTTTAAGCTGGTTTCTAGGGAAATTCTCCCATAAAAATATTGATTTTTGCCTATGGAGTGATCTCTACCATACAAGTACAATTTTTCTTGGGCCTCTGTAGGAAAGGCAGAAATGTTCAAAGATTAAACATATCCCCAGACAGAAGCTCTTCCAAGAAAAAAAAATATGCAGCATAGTGAAGTGATTACAATGTGGATTTTGGAGCCAAAGGGTCTGAGTTCAAAGTTCAGTTCTAACACTTAGTAGCCATGTGAGCCTGGACAAGTTTTTTAAAGTTTCTGTGTCTCAGTTTTCTCATCTTTTAATTGGAGATGGCAATTGAATCTTTGTTTTAGGCTTGTCTTAAGGATTGACTTAAATGACAATATTTGTGAAATACTTGAATTAAACCTCGTACATATTAATTGCTATGTGTTGTTTAATAGAATAAGCATTATTTTGCTATTTCTGATTATCCCATCTCTCCTAATAAGAATGAATAATTATGTTTTTAAAAAACCATAATGTTGTTAGGATTTAATGGAATATTATTGTAATAGAATATAATTAGAATAAGATATTAGGATATATTAGAATTATATTAAAATAATTATTAAGATATAATATATATTTTTACATATTGTAATTATATATCCTGATAATAGGATCTATTACATAGGGTATAATATATGTAATAATATATTAGAGTATTAGAATTCACTAGAATAGAAAATAAAATAATTAGAAACTAATATGTTATTAGGTTCTATTACTAGAATAATCAAAATTGAATAATTAAAATCTTCTCCTAATCCAAAGCACAGTATATTGAATGTCACATTTTGAGTGAGGCAGGAAGCTATCTATTTGGAGTAATTCTGTTTCCATTTTCCACTTGTCTAGTCAGATAGAGTGCATTTCCTGGGTGGGTTGTTTGTAGGTGATGAATCCA